TTTTTTATTACTGTGTATTCTATTAAAATGTAAAAAAATAGCAACATACTTTCATTTATTTGTTTACTTAGAACCCTACTTTCACTTTTTCATATTAGGGTTAATCTCAAAAAAGACCTTATATTTTGTGTTTTTTCCAGATTAAACCTCAAATTTATTTTTTTTTTCTGAAAAAGACCTTGTATTTTTTTCATTTTTCCCGATCTGGCCCTTTTAGTCATTTTTTTTCCAAAAAAAATTGCAAAATGTGAGGGTTTTTTCGATAAAAACTAAAAAAGTTGAGGGTTTATTTGGGAACATTTAGAAGGTTGAGGTTTTTTTTTTTTTGGAAAACAATACAAAGTTGAGGGCTTTTTTTGGAAAGAATGAAAAAATACAAGGTCTTTTTCAGGCAAAAAGTAAATTTGAGGTTTAATCCAGAAAAAAAAAAAACACAAAATATAAGGTCATTTTTGAGATTAACTCCTCATATTACAACATTATAGAAAGAAATGAAAGCAAGATGCTTTAATTCACAAATAAATGAAAGTACTTTGCTATTTATAGCATTTAGCCCTTGTTTTTATTTGCTTAAATATTTATTGGAGTTGTTAATATAATAATATGTTATGTTTCTTGCATTTTAGGTCTCTAAATGATAACAATTTATCAGGAGAAATACCGGATTCCTTTGAAGGCCTTACTGGTTTGGTTAATCTGTAGGATTCATTATCTTAAAAATATCTCTTTTTTTTCCTTTTTTTTTTTTTTTTAGTATTTTAGTTCCAATGTGGATTAGGCTCTTATGTCAGCAACTAGTGGGCCATGGGCCACTGTGTAGTTGATTTACAGTGTGGGCCAGCTCAGGGGTTGTTGGAACTTGGGAGTTATAGTAATAACTTTTTTTAATTTTCCTTTTTTGCAGTGATTTGTCTAGTAATGATTTGAGTGGAGAATTACCTTCTTCTTTACAACATTTATCTTTTCTAACTACTTTGTGAGTAATCATTTTTTATTAATTACAAAAGTTTTATGACATTTTGTTTATACGAGTGAAGCTGACATGTTCATGGGCAGTCATTTGCAGAACAATCAACTCTCTGGGACTCTAGATGTTCTACAAGATCTTCCATTGACTGATCTGTAAGCTTCTCAATTATAACAATGTAGAGAATAACATATTCAATGGATGAAAATAAGTTGCTATTGGCAAACTTTCAAGTTAAAATTACCTGTTTATCCTTTGTAAACATTAAAACTATTGATTAGGTTATTGATATCATCCACCAGGTTTCCCCTAGTTTGTTTATTTTTTTTTATCTTCTACTGATTTGTTCTTTTTCATACTTTCAGGAATGTAGAGAATAACATGTTCAATGGACCTATACCTGAAAAGTTACTAGCCATTCCTATTTTCAGGTGCATAAGTAGTTATGCTCATAAACTCTGGGCTCATTTCAATATACTAGTGTTGGACATGACTTTTTTGTGTCTGTGTTTGTTACACGAGACTGACGAAGCTTTCTAGGGCTATTTTTGTCTTTTTTAACGATGCAGATGAGGAGGGCGTTTATGTCTTTTGCACACTGAGCTTGGCATGCATTGGACTATGATTTGGATTCATGTCAAGACAAAAATCGTAATCTT